AATACTTTTAAATAATAAAAACAATTATAAGTTATAAAATTAAAACTTATTCATATCATATTTTATCTTGTTTACAACCATTAACAAAATAATCTTACAATTAATATAAGATTATATTATTAAAAGAAATAATAATATACTATATTTATATTTTCTTATTTATAATTTTTTAAACTAGAAATATAGTTTTAACTTATATTATTTATATAAGTATATTTTATTAAACTTTTTTGAATATATTAATATTTTGACTAAAAGATGAAATAAGAATTTTGGATCAGATAATCTATCTTTTTTTATTATTTTAATAAGTTTAATTATATTTTATATAAATTAATTAAATTATTTGCTATTCATTTTGATAAAATTTTAAAACTAAAATTAAAGCATATATATATAAAGTATAAGTATAAGTAATATAGTGTAAGATATTAAAGAATAATATTTATAATAATCATATTTGTTATTATCAAGTTATAAGATTATTTTATTAATAATTATAAATAAGATAAAATATAATATAAATAATTTTAATTTATAAAACTTACAATCTTTATTATTTGAATAATATTCAGATCTGAAGATAAATTATAAAATAAAGAGATTATATTTATAATAAAAAGAAATAAATATAAATATAAATCAATTAATAATAATTTATAAATAAATATATATAGATTAAATAGAATTAATTAATTTAATTCATGTTTTTATGTTTTTAGAAGATAACTAATCATAATCTAATAAATTATAAATAATATAAATAATAATATAAATAAATAATAATTAAAATATAATTAAAAATATTAATATTCTAAATTAATAATAAGAATATTTATAATAATTATTTGAATAACAATATAATAAATTTAATTAATTAAATATATGAATAATTATCTATATATTCAGTATAAAAATGATCTTTAAATAAAGATAATATAAAAATTAATTTATTATATAGATAATACAAAATAAAATTTAAATTAAAAGAAAATAATCTAATTAAAATTATTATATAAATAAGAAATTTTACAAGAAAGTAATAAAATAAAAAGAAGTATGAAAAAACTAATTATTATATATATTTTTTAACTAAATAATTTATATAATTTAATCAAAATTCTAATATTAATATAAAATAATATTAATATAATTAAATATAAATAATATAATATTAATAAAATTAATATATAATTATATAATAAAAAAGATTATCAGTCTCATTTTAATTTAATTTTATTTTAATTTATTATAATAATTATTTATATATTTAAAATAAAAATTAATTTTTAAATAAAATTATAAATTTTAATATAGAGAGAAAATTTCAATTTTTGCTATATTTTATTAATAAATTTAATCTTTGATATATTACTTTTGATTATTATTATATAATATATTATAAATATAAAATTAATTTTTTTATAATAAACTTATTAGAATAAAAATAAATTAAATTTTTCTTATAGTAAATTTAAGTTTAAAATATCTATATAAAATATTTTTTATATTAATAAATTTTTAATATAATATTTTTTGAAATTTTTTTATTTAAATATAAAAAATTAATTATAATTAGTAATTATATATTAATTTTATTGAAATAAAAAAGTTAGAGATTATTTTAATAAAAACTATAAATTAAAATATTATAAAGAAATAAAAAGAATTTACTCTTTACAAAAAATTATGCTAGTAAAAATAATTATAATTATTTTGATGAATTTAAATAATGAAAAATATTTTGAATTCTAACAAAAAGCTTATTAAACATATAATTATTTTTATTAATAATTAAAAGTTAATAACTTTAATTTTTTCTTTTGTTTAAATTTGCATTTTACTAAAAATACAAATCAAATAGGATAAGTTTTATCTGATTAATACAGTAAATATAAATAAAATTAGAGATATAATATTAATAAATATATAGTAAATATATGAACAATTTTTTTAAAAAAGTTATATTTCTGACTATATTTTTGCTTATATTTTAAAAGATCAAATCATATTTTAGTATTGAATTTCAGATTTATTATATCAAAATTATGAACAATTTTGTTATAATTATACTATAATTTGAATTGATTTATATTAGCCTACTCAGTCAATAAATAATATACACGTATTAAATTTTTTTTCTTAGTCACTCAGTCTGAATTTGCTTAATAAAAACTCGAGTTATTGATAATTTGATAATTTTTGTTTTTTTCACACAAAAAAATTTGAATTGATAATCTAAAAATGATTGGTCAATTAAAGATTTTTGCGTAGTCTAAATAGGAGATTTCTTAAAGCAAGGCAAACTATTTAGCCAGTTAAGTCAAATACTCATTATATATTTAACTTATAATATATAATTTGACAATATCTCTAATATCGATGTGACTTTTTAAGAGATAAATCAAAATAAAATTGTAAAATCAATTGCAAAATTTTATATATTGTAAAACAGCAAAATAATGAGTATTTATGTGTTGTTTCAGTCATCTGCACATTATTTTGAGTACATATATAAATGTTATTTCGAAATAAAGGATCAATTTTCTAAATCTGATCTCAAAATAATATTCATGAGTGACATATAATAGAATGACAATCTAAATTCGCTCATTTCTATAGGTTTAATACAAAACTCTGAATATTTAACATATTCAACATCCTGATATTTCTAAAAAGTAAGTATATATGAAAGAGTAAGAGTAATTATTATTTATTATGTACATATATATTTCATGTTAGTGTAATATTCAAATTTTAGGGTGTCAGGATTTTGGAAATTTTAGAATTTTAAGAAGCTAAGATTTTGTGTATTCAGAATGTTCAGGATTTTGATATTTTGGAAATTGGGATTTTTGCTTATGGAATTTGGAGCAGATCCATTAAAAAATGCATTATATAACATTCCTAATTAATAAATTACTCGCATGTTATTTTGGGATGCACATGGATGCTATTTTAAGTGTATAATTTTTGAAATAACGTTCGTGCTCATTATTTCAGTTTTATGATATAATTTATAGCCTCTACTGGAATCTATAATCGAAATACTAATTAATATTCGTATCTTGTTTGACATCCAACATCTTGGCATCCAAAATTTTGATATTTCAGAATTTTGATATCGGGATTATTTCAATTATAGTAATGGTATATATGTAAATTTTTGCAAGGAACATTTTTTTATTAATACATAATACAAGAGAATGTCATTATATAGAGGTCAATTTTTCTATAGTAATATATGAATCATTTGGGGAATTCTGTTATAAAAAAGTGTCGTTATAGGGAGGTTTGACTTGTAGTTTTTGGTTTTGTTTTTGATCTCGCGTTTTGATTGGTTTATCCCTTTTTCAAATCATGTGGTACAGATCAAATGTGTGGCGGATATGTGGTTAAACCGGCTAAACGACTTGCCTTGCTTTAAGGACTCCTAAAATAGGAAACTTTGAAAAAATTTTTGCTTTTGGGCAAAAACAAGGGGTAAAATTGGTTAACCTCTGGACTACCAAGGTGAACCTACCACGTTCGACCTGTGAAAGGTTCTCTAGGTCTATTCCTTTGAATATCAATTTTGTATAATGACAACGGCAGTTTTTACAATTATTGCATGCGAGGCAAATGGTGAATTTCTCTTTTTTAAATTTTTTGAATTGATATGCTAAGCAAATATCATGCGCTTCCCGCATATAAGTGTGTGTATGTACATAGTCAGGAAATCTTGTAATTAAAGATGATCTATTTATAATTTTCATTTGCAAGTTTAGAAATAGAAAAATCAAACTGTGTGACACTCCTCTAAGTGCATACCATTCATTACCTTGGGATCAGCTTATACATGCACATGTAGTATTGTAGTATATACTTAGAGGTGTGTGACTGTATTCGGCAGCTAGTCCCATTATTGTTATGTGTCGCAGTAAACTTTTGAGTTACACTCATTGTTTGTTTAAGTAAATGAACAAAGCACACATTCAATACTTTATTATATGATTTCCTTTTGCTAATGAAAATTTTAATATTTTTCTGCAGATTTATTAAGAAGGATATGAAAAATTTTTCAATTTCTTGATTTTGAAACTCTGTTAGTTCTCCTCTTCTAAACAGAATTTCTATTGCTTCATTTTGCATATGTTGCATTCGTTTTCGAGGGATTACACATTTAAAAAAACCAATCATATAAGGCTAAAGTACAGATTACATTTAGAAATTTCTAATTTTATTGTTATTATATTGGCAAGAACGCCAATGTGCTGCTCTCGGAAATTTAATTTTTTTTTAACGAAATGTTATAAATACATACAGAACTAAAAAATACTGCCTAAAGCAATATCGAACTCTAAAATGAATAATCTCAAAAAAATAGCAATATTTTTATTAATGTGTATTGCTACTGTTTTAGCTCAACAAACGTATGTAAGATCAAAAATATCTATTCGCTGAATATGTTGTAATTTTTTTTTAATCTTAATATCGATACGATCATGCATTAGCGTTGGTACTACAACGACAACGTCGATTGCGCAATCTCATCCGCCATCAGCTCCTGTACAACCCCCATCTTATTCAAATCCGAACCCAGGCAACAGTCCTACAGTTCAAGTAAAACCACATTCATCAACATTTATTCCGTCATCACCTCTTCCAATAACGACAATGTCGGCTAAGGAAACTCAGCCAACTTTAGCATTTACTCCGCCACCACCAGCTCTCCCACCTTATTCAAATTCGAACCCAGGCAACAGTCCTACAGTTCCAATAAAACCATATTCATCTCCTTCAACTGTAAATGGAGCAGCTAAATCGGCTATAAATACGGGTGTACTGCCTGCTTTGCCGACTTCTAATAAAAAGTAATTATAATAAATATTTGCCATCTATAAACTTCTTTCATTGATAATCTTTTGTTAAAATCGAAAAAAATTTAGATATTTTTATTAACATTACTTCATTTTAGCTCGGGAAATAGCGTTAATAACAGTAATCAGTCAAATTCACCACAAGCTAATCAACCTACATCAGCTAATAATAATAATCAACAAAATTCACCACAAACTAATGTTGGAAATAACCAACCTGCACCAGCTAATAGTAATAATAATAATAATCAGCCAAATTCACCACAAGCCAATGT